CCCCCCCCCAACCTCGAATTGAGAGTGCTCATGCACACCTATGCATGTGAAATGGCAAATTAATGTGAGGTACATGGCAGTTGTAGCGCACTTCGAACGCAAGACTCAACTATTACAAACGACGCGACGAACGGCTAAATGCCCCCCCCTCCCTGCATCGTGCGAGGTTATATTGTACCACATCAGCATCGGCCTCAAGCCTATCGCCTCGGCTTCTTTGTTCTACGTCGAAGCACGTATGACTTTCGAGACATTGCGTGAACCGTTCGAATAAAAAGAGCAATGGTGCACAAGAGGGTGAACGCCGCGTCATTGCTGCGAAGCAAGACGGTGTACTGTACCCCGGCAGTGGTCGGGTACTAGATTATACAATGCAACGAACCGAGAGGGACGTGTGCGTGTGTTCGTCACATCGCCAGCCCTATCCCAGCGCCAGTGATCAAGCCTTGTCGTGCTCGTATGCATACGTGAGGGAGGATAGTGCCGACTCCTGCTCTACCTGCCCCCCTCGACGGGTGTTTTTTTGTTGCCCACAATAGATTGCAGCCCAGAGAGATATTCGAACAACCTGTTGCCAGATATTTAAGAGGTTCACCACCACACCACCCAAGGACGACCGAGTGGGTCATGCGCACGCGAGGCAATACATAAGCCCGCAACTGTACCTGATTGTAGAGTGCTCACCATCAGTGCTGTCGCTCCTAACCCTTGCCCCTCCACCACCGCCGTCGCTGACGTGCGATGCGGCGGAACTAGGTGTAGTGGCGCCTGACGGCGCTGAGGGCGCTCCACATATCGCGACGTGCGCCCCACCGTTCTTCAACGAGCTGAACGACGCGCCACAGGCACTACACTCATAACCGCGGCCAGGAAATTTCTTGAGGCTCACCCTCCGCGGCCTCGTTTGTGCCATGGGCTGCTGTGGTTCAATGAGAACCGACGGAGGGTGGGGTGTCACGGGAGATGATAATAACACATACAAGGGCTTCGCGGCGGCNAGGACAACCAGGGGGCGATATCGTTGGTGCAGAACCCCTTTAGCTCGGCGAGGAGCAAGCACATCGACGTGCGGTTCCATTTCATTCGAGAGCTGTTCAAGTCGGGCAGAATCTCCGTCGAGTACATCCCGACTGACGAGCAGCACGCCGACCTTCTCACCAAGGCTCTTGGTAGGACCAAACTAGAAGACCACCGGAATGCTCTGAACATCCCGGGGTAGTGGTCTGTTTTTTTTTTGTTGTTTAGCACTGGACTTTATGATCATGATACGTCACGCAGGAAGGATTTACCGGCACGTCACTCGAGGTTGGAGCCTAGAAGCGCCCGTAGCGCTACCGAGAGATGCGTAATCCCCGTGCCCGGTACAATTTGTCCTGCCTTGATCTTGTCTTGGAAGTGCGGCCGTTGGAATCCTCCGTGATAGCGACGGTTATATATGTTTAGGGTAGGCGAGGGTTTTTGATCCGGATGGCCGGGTTTTCCCTTGCACCGTTACTGTTTAGAGTCCCTAGGTCTGATCAGGGGTAACCATGCCCCACGGATGGTTTGCCACTTGCGTGAAAAACCAGGGAGGGTGTTCGTGTGTTTGGATACGGACAGGTATTGATCGACCGCAGTAACGGATATATTCGCAGATAGGAACGTAGACATACCATTTTGGGGTTCTTGTGTTTGTGACCCCTGCTTCTCTGTTTTCCGGAAGCACTCTTCTTCTTCTCTTCTCTTGCTTCTGCGTTTCTAACACAAGCGATATTCAGTCTCTCCCTTCCAAGTCGCGGACATATACAACATATTTGCCAGGACACCTTTGGAAAAGGAGTACACTTCGGGATCAGCAAGTGTTGCCACATTCATTCCTTAATCGGTTTGGTGATGGATGCTTATATCATGATCATGCCCTTTCGGGAGGACACCTCGCTTACCGACCAACGTACGAAAGCATTCGTCAAAAATACTGGTGGAAATCTATGAATCGCGACATCCGAACTTGGTGTGAAGAGTGCCAGGCTTGTCAGCGCAGGAAAACGGCCCACCGCCGTCCGAAGTTACCCACAGGTCATGTACCTGTACAACGACCGTTTGAACGAATATCGGTCGATCTGCAGGAAGTGTAAAGTGCAATATGTCCTGTCTATGATGGACCATCTCACACGCTTCGCAATCTTAACACCCATTCCGAACAAGTCTGCCGAAACGGTAGCTAGGGTAATAATTGATCGGATAAGTAGCGTCTTCGGACCACCAGAAATGTTGCACTCTGATCAAGGCACCGAATTTGAAAACAANCAGGAAGTGTAAAGTGCAATATGTCCTGTCTATGATGGACCATCTCACACGCTTCGCAATCTTAACACCCATTCCGAACAAGTCTGCCGAAACGGTAGCTAGGGTAATAATTGATCGGATAAGTAGCGTCTTCGGACCACCAGAAATGTTGCACTCTGATCAAGGCACCGAATTTGAAAACAAGATCATTTTCCAGTTTCAGGAAATCCTCGGGTACAAGAAAACCCGGACGACACCGTATCGGCCACAAGGAAATTCAGTGTCAGAACGAGTGCACTTCACAATGCACGCAATTCTGGCGATGCACAGTTCCATGGAGCGAAATAACTGGGCGGGACTCTTGCGGATGGTACAACTAGCGTACAACACATCGTTTAGTATAACCATGTATGAGACACCGTTTTTCTTGATGTTCGGCCGCCAACCACATTTATTTATTTACCTGTAGATGTAATTCTTGGGATACCACACGTCGGGGCAACCGCCGATACCGAGAGTTTTTCTCAACAAACACGAGACAATCTGCAGATCGCGTTCGAACTCGCGCGTCGAAACCTGACGGGACGTGCTGAAAAACAAGCTGCGAAAAACAAAAAGTTGCCGCAGTATCCAGTGTTCAAACCTGGTCAACAAGTGCTAGTATACAAGCCATACTAGGACACTGACGGACCAAATCCGAAACTGCTTTTGCCATGGAGAGGACCATTTACCGTTTGCTCTTAACTGTCACCGGTTGTTTATCGTGTAGAACGAAGGAACGATGCGCGGGAAACATCCGTACACCTCGCCCATTTGAAGCAGTATCATGCACGGCAGAAACCTCCAGCACCACAGCTAAAAAAACTGGCTAAATATTCTTGGGGGAACAAATTCCTTTCTTTGCCGTCACTGAAACAAACCGGCGTGAATCAACCGAAAATTGCCCGATACGTCGTTGACAAAGTAGTAGGCCATAAAACAGGCCCAGGCTCGAAAAGCTAACACAACTACAAATATCGGCTGCGTTTACGAGGTTACGGCCCAGAGTCAGACCTATTAGACTATGGCGATCGTTTGGAGTTATCAGCAATTTCGTGCACGTCGATCATGCTGGTTTGAAGGAGCAGGTAAGGTTTGCGTGACAGCGCGCATGCAGTGAGTGCCCCCCGCCCCTCTTGATTTGTTTACTCCGAAGTGTTGTTTCGTGCAGATAGATGTGGTTTAGGCGTGACGTGTTCCGTTTTCTTCTGTACGTTTCGGAATCCCCCAATCAGAGTCGCCCCGTGGGTGATATTTTCGTTTTTTCAGACCCCCCCCCCCACCACCACCTACTCTTGCGCTGTTTCCAACACAATCGTGTTGTACGTCACGGAATAAAACAGTAATATTCTCGTGTTCTTTATGCTCGTCACACATTTTGCTTGTCACCCTACCTAACCGAGTTTTCGTCCACTCTGGCATCAAACATGAACTTTTTGTTTCATGTCGTTGCGCATCCATGCTTTCCCTTTCCCTACGTGCTTTGGAAAAGTTTTTGGTACTCCATGCTGCAGTTCATGACGGGCCCGCGTCGCATAGCCTCCGGACTCCTGACCATCGCCAAGTCGCACTACGGGAACCCCAAGATGTGCGCTTCCTGTCCCCGTACGCCTGCGGGGACAACAATCTCATCGTGGAGGAGACCCTGGCCGCAGACGTGCACGTCGACGACGCCGAGCTCTCCGCATTTCTCGACAAGATGGACGGACCAGCGCTCAGCATCCGCATGGGTCGCGAAATCGCTGGCAATGTTCTCGGGCTTAGCGCTTGGTATGGTGTTCGGTGCGATCGGAGGGAGCAGGTTGCTTGTACATAGCGTTCGGCAATAATCGTCTATAGGCAGTCTAAATCGTGCAGCAGTGGCACTCTTTTTTTGTCACGTGTGTTATCGAGGCACGCGTCATACGCCTGCAATTCGGTAAGTGCGTGCGTACCTTGGACGTGATACACACAACCCAGAGGTTGTTTGGCGTGTCGCCGGGGGGGGAGGGGCGCCCAAGTATGGCGGTGCTACGGACAAGGGGCAAGTTTGGTCGGAGCTTTTTTTCGTTGAGTTGAGTCTCCGCGTGCACAAGAATGTGGGCTTGAGCGGGTGCTGTGGGCTTGAGCGGGTGATTGCAAGTTTCTTGAACCTGAAGGCAAGGAGTGCGATTTTTTGGTAGTCAATGAGTGCGTTGATGCATTTTTTTTTTAACTGCTTTTTTGTCGTAATGTTCATAGATCGTGTGGTTCACATTGCGTCCTGAGTTGGTTGGTGCACGTCGTGACTACGTTTTGCAATGTCGAAAGTGGTCGTCCAAGTTTGGGTTGTGAGCCCCAATATTGCAGATTTTTATTGATGGGTTGGGTTTAGGGATGTATCCTACTGCAAATGGCGTGGATAAGCATGAGCGTTTTGTACGTGTAGGAGCACCAAATGCTGCTGCGAGGCACGCGACAAGAATATAAATGAAAGAAATATTCAAAAGGAAAGCTCCAATTTTTCGGCGCCGTTTGTACAACTGCCGTGGTCTCTACAGGGTTATCCCAGGGTATGTACCCCGCGAGGGTCCCTGAGTGACAGGGTACGCACAGCGTGTGGAATCGGTACCCTGGCAGGGTACCCACCTTGCAACCGGGTCAAGCCTGCAAGGTAGTCTTTTAGAGTGACCTTGCCAGGGTGATACCTCCCCACCCTGGCAGCGTAGCCGAATGGCTACAGGTGAAAAGAGGACGAAAGGCGAATAAAAAATATTTATCAACAATGCATAATAGCACACGGTGAAAGGAATAGCAACCGTCAAATTGGAAGCTATACCAGCGGTTGTTTTGGGTCAACCGCTGGCAAGGAAAGTCAAGCACACGATTCTAGATGCTGTTTGGGGTCACAACCAAATAGCATTGTTGATGAGTCGTGAAAACAGTCAAAACTGTCATCGCACCGTGCGCCTGTTAAGTTCGTCCAGCAATAAATATTGCAACGCCCAAGCGGTATGTTTGGTCAACGCGAGCCAAACACCGCAGCAAATCTCAACCTTGAAAGCAAGGGATTTGCAAACTGTATCATAAGACAAGCATCTGCTCGTGAATAATAGGAGACACGAGGACAATCACCAATCAATGTGGTGTAGTCGAGTTACTTTACAACAACATAGTGACTCCGGAACAATCTATCGCGTATGACTCTCGGGTATGTGCGGGTTCCCTCGTTGTAACGTAACGCGTGTTTTCTCAACACGGCAGCGATGAGGAGGGGGAAGTAATCATATTCACGAGCGGTGTCTTACAACCAGGAGTAACCTAAATCCAATTCCACTTGCATTCCCTCATTCACTTGAGAATGAGCGCCAATAACCATCTTTTAATAAAGATGGATTTCCGGCGAACGAAAAGGGGGGCAATGTGGAAACCAGGATATAGGTATCTTCCCAGTAGTAGGGACGCACATACAACCGTATAGATCCGTGACCCTCCGAACGACGTTCTCCTGGTCTGAAGACCTTTACAACGAAAAGACCCTCCGTCTGCTGTGACCACCCGGAGGGTAGAAGCGAGCCCCTGAAGCTCACTCTCACCTTTCAACCTAGCAAGGCTGACTAATGTTAGCCACGCTTGGCCAATCCTTGCCACATTGCAATAAGAGCGAAATTACCTCCGTTGGTGAACGGTTATTCACCACTTCAGGGGCCTTTCTTTGCTCACAACGGAGTAAGGGTATTCCCATCACCAATTTTCGCACCATTGCCAATTTCCAACACTTGATGGGTTTGCGATTTTCTCATCAATGACGCCTGACCTCCATCTGCTCCAAGCAGATGATACACCTGCCAAAACAGATTTTTGAACGATTTGTTTTGTACGGATTCGGCAGGCAGTCTCTCACGAATAATTCGAGCGGGATCCTGGCAACAAGCTGAAAGTCCACCCTCATGCGCCCCACTTCAACATGTACAAGGTTGACAGACAGACGTATGTACGTACACCCCCATAAACTTCCCAGGTTACCCCCTTACGTACACATCATTGACAGGACAAACAATGGGGGACGACGAACGTGGGTGTCATTCTCCCTCTGTGTATTCGGTATGCCCTCTTGCGCTCTTTCGGCTACTGCTACAATGCCCACCTCTGTTATACCACGGACAAAGGAAGACAAATTGTAGAACAATCGTAGATAGATTACAGTGCTAGCGGAGATGTTCATTGTCCGTTGTTGGTGCTCTCACCCTTGGCCTCCCCCCCGCGCGGGCGCCATCTCATCCAACCCCAACCGAGAATCGGTCATCGCGTAGGCGAATTACCTCCCACCGGTCGACATACTAGCAGCTCCGCGGCAAGTCCGTTGGGGAGAACTTTGACCTCTTCTCATCGGGGTCACAAAAGAAAGAAAATTGGGGGTTGATGAAGTCCTGCGGTGCTCCAACCAAGCAGCAACTCCCTGGACTTCGTCATCCCTTCTGAGGGGATGTACAATAATATCCTGTTCCTTCCGCCATCGATCGTACGGAACATATTTCTAAGCAACAGGTTAAATGTCTCCATAAAGGTCGATCACCCCTTCTTGGTTAGACACAGGAGCTAGACCGTTTCCACGGCACCCGCTTCGCCGGGGAACCACCCGCAATCCCGCCGGTGCCCGACTGCGCCGTCGCCGTCGCTGCTGGCCCAGCCGTCAAAGCACACGCACTCTCCCTCTGCGTAGTCGCAATAGCCGTGCCGCGAGCACTCGGCGTCGAGCTTGGTGCCTTTGGTGACCTCGGCAACCTCGAGGCTTACGGTGCCGTCGGAGGAGGAGGGAGAGGTGGTGGACGTGGCTATGGAGAGGAGAGGGAGGTCTCCGAGCTCTGTCTTGAAGACGATAGACGCCGGGTGGCCACTGGAGGAGTTGCAGAGCATTGCGGTGGCGTGGGAATCGCTGTCGTGCCCTACCATGGTCACCTTGGTGGGGGGGCGGGGGGCAAGTGATTGGGGGGGGAGGCCGACGAGATGGAATGGGGTGGGGACATGTGAGGGGAGGGGGGCGTCTAAGCATGAATCACCGTGTCACAGAGGAGAGCTGGCAAGTGGTGTGTGTCAAAGTGGATCAATCGTTGGATCAGGAATGAGGACGGTGCAGACCGCTCGGCGATATGGCGATATAGGCTTAAGGTACGAGCACCTTTGTTGCTTGTTTTTTGCACTCGTCTATGACGTTGGCATGGCACGGACGACGAGGAGAGGAGCAGCTGCTGACCATGGTTCGTTCTTGACGAAGTGATATCCCGTGGTGCACGAGATCCGATGCATGCAGCCGAAATACAATCTTCGTGGCTGCATATCCATGGCCATACGCACGCCACTATTTGTATGTTTACCCTATCGTAGAAACACCCGTGGCAGTGTTCAGGGCACCTCTACGTCTCCGATGGTGCTCAGGCCTTCCAGTGCTTGTTCCAGATCCAGCAGAGTAGAATTTCCGGTCATCAAGTTGGTGGTCCCCTGCCTGAATGAGATTGAGAAGGAGGCGTTCACGACGCCGCTGCCCAGGGTGCACGTCAGGTTCTGCCGCTCAAAGTCGGTTGAGTTAAACATCGCGGCCCTGGTTGTGTTTTAGTTGTGAAGGGACAGAGAAGGAGGCACACGAAAGGAGATAAGTATCAACACGCATTCGTCCTTCCGTTCCGCTGGGCAGGCCGCCAGGGGCGAACGAACATATGCTTGGGTAACGCGGTATTAGATCCTCGACGTACATGTTCTACGCCACTCGGAAATGACTGCTGCTCTATATCTCACGACGTGGTGTGCAGCGAAGTAAATCTTGCTTACTTTCTGTCGTCCCCCGTCGGGCAAGACTTCCGGCTGCAGTCGTAGCCTGTCCAATCAGACAGGTTTGTATACGAAGGACCGCCACCTTGATACCCCTGACAAAACGATTCAATGGTTCATCCCAGAGGTAGGAGATCATATAATTTAGAGAGAGCAGCGGTAAAGCAGTCTTGGCAGAATTTCTGGGGGGTGGTGCTGCAGGAGTCTATATGGGGATACTGTCTTGCTTTGTGCTGACGAAAGACAGAGGTGACGAGATGGCAGTATTCAGTAAGACTATGGGGGAAAGATGCAAGGGGTGACTCGTTTGGACGGTGTGTGGAATTGCGGGTGGATACCTCAAGGCAAAACGTCTGAATTCTGAGATACCCTCACTCAGTGTTGGCAACGACGATCCTATGGCAGCAAATATCTGGCATAGCGTTCCTCGGCGTTTGCCTACCGCCCCTTCCCCCCTCTCTCTTCACTCTACCGTGGCTTCCCCCCTCTCCTCCCCCCCCTTCGCCTGCCATGTAGACTCTCCACCAAACTCATCCGCTCACCATCCAGTCGCAGTAGCAACCGCACACAGCATCCGCATCCCACGTTAATTGGTTTCCGGCCGTCGAGCCGTACACGAACGGGCTCGGCACGTAGTCGGAATCTAACGCTAACAGCCCGAGCTGCCGCATGGACAAGCATTTGCCATTACCATTGCAGTCGTTGGGGCACGTCATACGCTAAGCGTGTGAAAGCGGGGGCGGAGGTGGGGCAAAGGGGCAGAGCAAGGGAAACGAGGACGGTCAAAATAGTTAAAACACATGTAGGATGTGGCAGGAAAACAACAGCGTGTACCATTCGTAGGGACCGCATCTAGCTTGCCTAGAGGTTGCTGCTTTGTGCGGCTGTGCATCATTGCCTTAAGCATATTAACCCAACGCGTACTATTGGTGTGTGGGGGGCACAGTGTTGCGCTGTTCTTGCTTTGCTTTCTCGACGGCCGTCCCTGCCTCTCTCGCATATTTCAAATTCGTTGAATCGGTTCCCGGCGTACCTGACACGCATCGCCTGTGAAACCAGCGCTGCACGCGCAGACGCCCGTCTCGCGGTCGCAGACGCCGCGGGCGGAGCACTCGGCGTACGCGTGCGCCGTCCCGTCGGTGGCTGCTTCGTCAAACCAAGCCGGGCCCTGGGCAAAGGAGAGACGCCACAGGCGTGAGAGCTTTTAATTCCACACTACTTTGTCGATCTCGTACTACTGATATTCAAGTGAGACCAAGGGTTGTTGTCGGGCACGATGGTATGGGCAGGGACTCACAGAAGTAGCGTTCGGGAATCGAAAATACGATGTGAAGTACGCTGGATGCGCCAAGCTACCAAGGAAGCTGCCAAAAGCTACCAAGGAAGCTGCCGACGCGAGAACGGCGAGCCTGGTGAAGCTGTTGCTCGCCCATCTATTCGTCGAAATCCTGCACGGGAAACTATAGGTTGCTAAAAGTCCCCGCACGGCGACTTAGGCTCCAAAAACGAAAACCTTCTCCAACGATATGCATAGTAGGAACAAAACTGGAGGCAGACAGAACAGGGGGGCGGAAACGGGCTCTGACCTCCGGACACGATCTCTGCGCGCAGTTTCCTTCCCACCCGTCGTCACAAGAACAAGTGAAGTACGGCGCCCCGCTGCACACCTGAGGACGTCGAGGTAATCGTTTTCGTCGTCTGTGAATTGTGAGATGTTGCACCTGTAGTCGACTTCAACTCAGAGCCAGCTATGACCTCTCTACGCAGCTTGTGGTACAAGAAACGAAGGACAACTTGGACCGTCTGCAAGAGCGTGTCGCCGACCGCGTGGAGACAACACGGAGACGTGATGATACCATCATTTTTCGGTGAAAACGTCTGGTGTGGCGTAACTTCCATTCTTTTCTCAAATGCTGTATTTGAGTTGGAGATTATGGTCAACACACTCGACGCTTACTAGTCGAACAATCATAGCTGGCTGTTTGTTGTTCTAATACTACCGGACTCTTGTGCATCTCTACCGCATCCAGCGGCAACGACGCTCTCAGGTCATGTAGAAGAACCATCGCGACCTTCGTGTTCACCAGTAGGTCCAGAAACAAAGAAATGAGTGTGAGTACGCGAACCTACGACGAAAGCGAAAGCTTTGCTCGACGATTCGAACGTTTATCCTCTCGTCTTCATCTCTGTACTATAGGAGCCACTGGCTGTTGTGCTGAAGTTCTATTCTTGTCATTTTTTACGGCTCCGTTGTCGGTGTGCTTTGAACTCACGCCGTGGCCGTGACAGTCGTAGTAGAGCGTGAAAGTAGGGTAGCCCTCTCCGAGGTCGAAGACGAAAGACTTGGGTCTGCCCATGCGCACCAATGCGTTCGCGTTGTTACCGTCGGTTTCAACCTGCCGAAGAAAGACAGAAAACGAACGGAACAAGAGCAAGGCGGCACCAGGAGTTCGTTGATCGATCTTAAAAAGCAAAGGAAGAGAAAGAACGAACATAGGGATAAGCATTTCCATTGGACAAAAGAAAGAAGCACTGTGGTGGTGACGGTATGCATACACGGGGCGTCACAAATATCCCTTGCAGGCTAAGCTGGTAGTCGGTCTGACCACGCGATCAGTATTGTTCGGAACCAGCACGCACAAACCCCAGGTGTAGAGAAACAAGGGATGCTGGTCAAACCGAGAGTTTGGGAGGGAGAAGCGCATGCGACATGGAGAGAGCAAACGTGGTAGTGCTATGGGTACAAGGAGGACCTTCCAGCGGGGTAACATCGACACGGGATAGAAACACGGCGCATTGGACAAGTGAGGGAAGTGGAACGCTTCACAAGTTGTCAACGGCAGACCTGACGATGCGCTTGTTTTTCAGCCTTCCTCGCCGCCGACCACTACACCACAAGTTCATTTGGACCGAACCCTTGTACCACCGTCAAGAGCAAGAGAGAGTGCACCCCGCTCTCGCCCGATTGCCTCCTCGGGCACGACAGCTTCTGGATTCCGTCAATCAACCCCGTCCTTAAAGAAAAGTCGCTTTGGGGAATAATTAGTTGTGTGTGTATAGTGTCACCGGTCGCACCGGTGATCTAGTGGTATCCTCGTAATCCGCTAGTTGCAGAGGTCGTGAGTTCGAACCCCCATATGGCATGGGGTGAAAAAATTACGAAATGTGCGGGTGAAAGCGAAATATAGCTGACAAGCCCTCGTGAGTACCAAACTTCGACGTTAGCACCGTTGACGAGGGAAAGGGACGGCTGGACCCTTCTCGCGATAAAACCAGTATTCAGCACGCACCGCAGGAGGAAGGTGGGGCATGAAAAGAAATAAAAAGAAGAAAAAAGTCCTGGTGTTTACCCCCTCCTGTGTGACCCTGGATGGTTGTAGTTGTACGAAAAATACACTGAACAGTGTAGTACTATACATACATACGCTGAAGAGTGTAGTACACGTCTCACCACGAAAATGGGGGGACTGTCGCCATAATAAATAGGACGAAAACACACACACACACACAACACACAGTGGGGTTCCCATGTCGCACCGCCATCCCAGCGACATATACATGCACCAACACGCCGCGCCGGCAGTGGGGAGATCATCAGCATCGGCATTTGCATTGGCGTCGCGGTCAACGTAAGGTACTCAAACGCCCAAGCGGTTTTTAGGAGAAGCTAATGAGTTCGGGTCCTTTGCATCTTCCTGTTTCCTTACGGCCGTCCTCTAAAAAAGAAGCGCTCGAAACAACCCACACCACTCTGCAACTTCTAACAACAAAACGGACAGAAAAAGGTAGGAATTTGCTGGGTATCTGAAGGTCGCAAAGGCGCGATATGCCCTTGTACCTGTTGCCTGCGGATGATCATCTTGGACACCTACATGCTTGCTGGGGGTGGGATTGGCGGGGGGGGGGGGG